TAGTGTGGTGTCCCGTACAGCAACAGGATCTTCCTGGTGCTCGCATACATTCTGTGTGATTCCAGCCCCCGAGAGAGGAACCTGGGCCATTTTCCTCTGGAGAGGAACAAGGTGCTCAAACTGGAGCCTGACTTATCCCAGTTCCCAGCGAACCACCAGGTGCTCAGCAGACACCAGGCACTTTCCAGCTCTGTGGCTGGCTCATTCACTGTAGGAGAATTTTGTTCAGCATTTACTGAGGTACCTTGAGCAAGTAAAACTCCCTGAATCTCAATTTTGCTGTGTGAAAAATGGAGTGCGCAGTGTCTATACCACAGGGGTCTTATAAAGGCAAAGAAGGGTCCTCTAAAATGGTTCTTCCCAGTTCTTACTCTGGTACAATCATAAAAGCTAAACTTAGTTACTGAAGGCCTGATGCATCCCTCAGTGGCCAGTCCAAGCTCATCAGGAATTACGTCTTCCTAAGAAAGAGAGCTAAGTTTATTCTATCCCAGCCTGACACAGGGAGAGTTTCAGAGCTTAGAGGCATACCCAAAGCTATGGATGGACCTCCGGGAACCTGGCAGCAGGTGCCAAGTGAGGGACTCCACCCTCAGTACCAATGTTCCACTTTACTTTCCGTAGTGGAAGCCTCACTGTAAGCTTCATTGTAAACATCACTATAAGTCTCACTGTAAGCCTCAAAGCCAGTGGATAATGAGCCTTGGTAAAGGGTTCTTGGATGTAGTTGAAACTATAAACATGAGAACACATCTGTACCCTCATGTCATCATGAGCTTCATCCTACCAGCTCTCATCTGGGATTGAGCTGAGATGATAATGTATGTCTGTCATGATTTGAATGTAAAACATCTCCCACAGGCTCATGGTTTGAATACTTGTAGCAGCTGGTGGCACTATTTTGGGAGCTTTGTTACGTCCAGGGAAGGAATTTTAATAGTAGTATGGGGGTTGGTACAGTTGATACAGGGTATGAGTACAGTTGTCCACAGAAACCAAAAGGTGTCAGATCCCCTGGAGCTGGAGTTATAGATGGTTATAAAGCCCCTGGTATGTGTCCTGAGAACTGAACTCCTATCTTCTGGAAGAGCAGTAAGTGCTCTTAACCATCGAGCTATTCCTCCAACCCAGTAGGATCCCTCTTTTGCATCCATCCCTTATAGAAACATCATGAAGAAATTATGTTCTAACCTCAACTATTCTACAAAAGTCTCTCACTAAACTTTAACCTTTAAAAGTTTTCACAGAAATTCCCATGACTCTACAAGGATGACCCCAGCTAAGACTCCTAGTAATAGTGGATACATAGCCTGAATTGGCCATCTCCTGTAATCAGATTGGTAACTACCCCAATTGTCATCAGAGAGACTTCGTCCAGTAACTGATGGAAACAGATGCGGAGACCCACAGTCAAACATTAGACCCAGCTTGGGGAATCTTGCTCAAGAAGGGAGAAAGGATTGTAGGAGCTAGAGGGGTCAAGGACGCCACAAGAAAACCCATAGAAACAACTAACTTGGGCCCCAGGAATCCACAGAGTCTGGACCAGCAACCATGGAGCCTGCATGGGACCGACCTAGGCCCTCTACATATATGTGACAGTTGTGTAGCTTGATCTATCTGTGGGACTCCTAATAGTGGGAGCAGGGGCTGTCCCTAAGGCTTTGGCTGGCTCCTGGAAACTGATTCCTCATACCTGGTTGCCTTACTCAGCCTAGGGACAAGGCAAGGTGCTTGGTCTTACTGCAACTTGATACACCATGCTTTCCTGATACCATGGGAAACCTTCCTGAACAAACAGAGAAGTAGTGGATTGGGAGGAGGGTGAAGAGATGAGGGGGTAGGAAATGGGAGGAGAGGAGAGAGGGGAAACTGTGGTCAGATGTAAAATAGATACATAAATTTTTGAAAAAAAAGAACATGGCAACACTAGAAAATTTTTTTCCCAGAAATTCATACAACAACACCAGGTTGACATGTGCTGCTCCCAATAAAACAAAACCTGGACTGAAATACTTGTCTGAAAATTATCTTCTCACATCTGTTCAGGATTCAAGCTCCCTTTAAATAAATGGCCAGTCTGATTGTATACAGAAATACCTTTTCCTTGTATCATTTCCACCTGTCGTGGCTCCTCTTTATTCAGCTATTAGCTCAGTCAAACTTTGTTTAACGATATTTTTCTCAATTATTCAAGACCTGTCTCCTGCCCTAGGTAGTAAACTTGAGAGTAAGGCTAAGAAACAAAACAGTAAGAACTGTAAAAAGAAAATCAACCAAGCTGTGTACTCTGAATGGACTCAGCAAATGTACCTCTCATTTTTATTATTTTTTGTTGAGTCAGGTTTTGTCATGATCCCAGACTGGCCTTGAACTCATGATCCTCCTGCCTCTGCCTCATGTCTAGTGAGAAGCATCAGAATGGTGACCCCAGGACTCCAAAGGCTCCTACAGCCAAAGCCCTCCTTCCTCAGTCTTTACTTTCTATAGCAATAGTCAATGAATACATTTTCATCCAAATCTATAAATTAAAAGATTTCTTTGTTAGACAATCAGAAATTTGATCTAACCCACTCAGTCCCCAAGAATTTCATTTATCAGATGATCTACTAAGATATTCTGCTATTGACTAGAAGTTCAGAAAATTTAAGTTTGCAATTTCACAGCGTGATTTCAAATGAGAAACTCAAAATCACTTCTTAGAGGGGCCAAGGCATGAGACCCCCCCACTTAGTTCTGAGTTCTATAGAAGTAGTTTTACATTTTTTTTTTTTTTTTTTTTTTTTTTTTTTTTTTTTTTTGGTTTTTCGAGACAGGGTTTCTCTGTGTAGCTTTGCGCCTTTCCTGGAACTCGCTTTGGAGACCAGGCTGGCCTCGAACTCACAGAGATCCGCCTGGCTCTGCCTCCCGAGTGCTGGGATTAAAGGCGTGCGCCACCACCGCCCGGCGTTTTACATTTTCTTAATGGGATTCTTGAAGGTTCACTTGAAGCAGTGAATTCATTGTACATTTTATAACCATACTTAGCAGCTCAATATCTCTGTCTCCCCTTTGGATCAACCATCCAGGTCTAGGACTGGAGAAGGACACAGACACTCTTGCTGCAAGTTTCTATCAGAAGAATGAGTGTGTGAGATTCCTTTCTCCTTTATAAAAGAACGAATATTATTTATTTATTTTTGTGTGTGTGTATGTGTTTGAGAGAGTGTGTATGCATGTGTGTGTGCAGCTATGTACATGCACAGAAGAGGGCATTGGGTGCTTCCTCTTTCTTTCTCAGCCTGTTCCTTTGAGGCACAGTCTCACCTGCGGTTCACATCTTCTTGGCTAGGCTAGAAACTAAGAAGCCCCAGCTCCTTCTGCCTCTGCCCCCACACCCACCCTCAGAGCTGGGGATACAGGCATGCATGGGATACCTGGTGTATTGTGTAGGTACTGGAATCTGAACTCCAGTCCTCATGATTGTGCAGCAGGCATTCTTAACCTCTTGAGCCCACCCCTCTCCCCAGTCATCTGTTGTAGACTTTTCTTTGTTCTGGGATCCACATGACTTGGAAGCTGCTGCTCACTGTGAGGAAACATAATGATAAACCCAAAGTGCATGTCAGCTGTCTTGAGCTCGGACAGGTTCAAATTACAGACTGCTGCTTGGTGACTGACTAATTGATTGTGTGCAGACTCCAATCATCACAGGGCAGGTAGGTGGCAGGAGCTGGATAGGACAGAGGAGGCACAGGTGAGCAGAAAGGTAGTAAAGCTCCATCAGGGTTTTGGCAGTGAAGATCCCAGTGTGGCCAGAACTCTGCCCTGATACAGGGAAGCCTTCTTTCTCATGTGAGGATCAGCCTTGGGCTCCAGGGTTGAGGATGGAGGGAGAACAGGTGTTCCCAAGGTCACTTTTCAGAGACTAAGGCTGCTGCAATCTCTTTCTTTGGGGAGGGGGAGCAGCCATCTGGCTGAGGTCAAACTGTTCAAGGTAACGAGAGTGGGGAGGGATGCTCAGTTACAAAGTACCTAAATATAGAGTATTGCATACATAGGCAGAGAGAGAGAGAGAGAGAGAGAGAGAGAGAGAGAGAGAGAGAGAGAGCACAGAACCTATGCAGGATGGTAGAGCCACCAAGTTTAGGGTCTAGGCAGCCTTATAGACACCAGCTCTGTTCTGAAAATGGCAGCTTTAGAATGAGTGACAGAAGTATGAGTCATTGTCACCCAACCAGAAAGTGCTTGGCAATCCATTCCTGAAATCCTAGGAAGTGGTGGTGTGTTCATTTTAGGCAGGGACTCACCGATCTCAGAAGTTGATACAGAGCTGGTACCACTGCTTCCATCTCCAGTGTGGGGTAGTGTGTGTGTGTGTGTGTGTGTGTGTGTGTGTGTGTGTGTGTGTGTGTGTGTTCCTATGCATGGGGGTAAAGATGCACATGTGGAGGCCAATGGTCAACTTCAGGTGTCAGTGATCCACATTGTTTATTGATACAGTTTCTCACTAGCCTAGAACTCACCATGTTGGCCAGTGAGCTTCAGGAATCTGCTTGTCTCCATGCACACAGTGCTGGCATTATAAGACGTCATGAGTGACTTTTTTAAAATCCGAGTTCTGAAGATTGAACTCAGGTCCTTATGTTTGCATGGCAAGCATTTTCCCGATTAAACTATCTCCATAGCCCTAATATCTGGCATTTAAAAACAAACAACTCAGGATTTATTTATTTTGTTTTATATTTATGAGTGTTTTGCCTGATAGGTGATAAGAGAGGTTTTGTTATCCTGTAAAGGAGGCAGAGTCCTGCAGTTCCAGTTCATCCCACTTTAGTCTAGAGGTGACCTGCAGCTCTGTTTCAGTTTCCCCTCTGAGTTTCTAAGGCATCCATTAGAAAAGTCACAGCGGGACCAGGGAAATGACTCATCAGTAAAGTTCTTGCCAAGCAAGCATGAAGACCTGCGTTAAGGCCCCTAGCATTCAGGTAAAAATCAAATAAGGCAGCATACATCCTTACCGTATCACTAGAGAGAAGGGGTGTGGAGACTGGCAGATCTCTGAAGCTCATTGGCCAGGTAGTCAAGAGATATCAGTTAGCTTCAGGTTCAGTGAGAGATCCTGCCTCAAAATACAAGTATGGTGAGTGATAGGAGAAAGGCAGAAAGACACTCTCTGAAGTCCACTATTAGTTTGCACACTCACAAAACATTTATACACCCATACTACTAAGTACACAAACCACACACACCATACAAACACACACACACAAACCACACTCAACCCTATCAAGCACACACCACACTACTATCAACACAGAAATATCTACACATTGTCTTTTCCCCAATTTCCTCTGAGCTTCCTTCTCTACTGTAGAAACTGGTATAATAACAGTAAACACCAGGGTACACTGTGAGGACAGCCCTGGCATGTCATAGCTCTGCATCAGTCATGGTCACACAGTGCACAGGCTGTGAACTGGTGAGGTTAAAAGTCCAACATGCCTGGCCATTTAACTATGATGCACCATTTTTACCATTGATATATGATGCTAGGAAGTTCTCAGAATCTCTTCTTCACGTGGTTTTGAGCCATTGATTGCCCATAGTCGTAGCTGAAGAGAATTGGGAAATTCCTTGATGCAGCACAGCCCCCCATGATATGCTATCTGCATTGCTCACAGGTGGTGAGAGACCCCAGGAGAACCAAAAGAGGATTCAGACTGTCTCCACTCTTCCCTGATACACACCCAAGCTCTCTTTCCAATCACAGTCCTGCTGTCCCCAGGTCTCATACCAGAGCTTCCAGTGCCCAAGAACCACAGTCCAAGTCGACAGAACTTCCCTGACAGTGGAGAAGCCCAGTCTCTGGAGGGCTCATTACTCAGTGATGGTCTCAGATCTTAACTGTGACTGGAGTATTACCATGGCTCTCGAGGTACTACATGAGCATTCGAGTCTTACCCCTCCACCACTCTGCTTTTCTGGGTTCTGACTCCTGTCTTCATCATTCTTCCTGTTTCGTTAAAGAGTAGATTATATAGTATCAGGAGCTCAATGGTTGTAACAGTTTTAGAATGTATGAGAACAGACAAGGCCCTTACATTGTAAGATGGTTCTCTGAACCCTGTTGATTAGATGTTGTGCATGAAGAACAGTGGTGTGAGTGCTGGTATGTGGCCACCCCTGGTAGCATGCTTGACTGGCATGTAGGGTGCCCTGAGTTCCATCCCCAGCTCTCCATAAACCAGGCATAGAGGTACATGCCTGCCACCCCAGCCTACATAGAAGTCTCCAAGCCAGCCTGGGCTACATGAGCTCCTGTCTCCTAGTAAAATTAAATAAATAAAAAAGCAAGTAAGTAAAAGAAGGGTGGTTTGATAGGAAGTGGAAGAAAATACCCTGAGATTAAAAGTTCAGTCAAAGGAACTTATGAAGACTAGTGTCCAAGGGCGTGTCAAAGAACTGACTCACACTTGGGTAATTTTCTTTAGTATTTTCCTATGCTCTCATCTGGTTCTCTGTGTGTGATTGCATCCTGCCTCTGCTTGTTTTCGGTTTGCTTTGCTCTGGTCTCACCAGTTTATTAAAGATAGTGTGCTATTGATTTGAAGTCTTTCCTCTTTCCTGATATGAGCACATGCTGCAGTTCCCCTCCCAGGACTGCATTCGTGGAATCCCCTAAGTTTTCAACACAAAACACATTTATTTCCCTCTGGTCTCTTCTTTAATCCATTGGTTATTTATGAGGATGTTGTTTAATTTCCACACATCTGTGTGAGCTATTCAGTTGCCCATCTATTATTGATTTCCAGGTTCAATCTCTTGTGATCCAAACCAAGCTTTTCGGGACTGAATGTCAATCTTTCTATAAGTATTGAGGATTGTTTCATTACCGAGTACCTGGGGAATGTCCAGCAAGCCCTGGAGGGAATATGTGTTCTGTTTGTGGGAAGCATCAGTCATAGTTCACAAAGCACTGAGAGTCTTACATAGGAGTTTTGGCAAGAACATGGCAGGGCTGTGATGACACACAAAAAAAAATCAGCTCATTCCTCCCAGCTCAGATATGTCACCTGTTAGTACAGCTTCCATTCCAAACTCCATGCTGCCATCCGGGGTTGCATTCCTTAGAATTTTATCAAGAACTGAAAATATGCACATGTCCTTTGATTAAAATAGCATTTTCTCTGAGGCTGACAGTCATTAAGAGCACTCAGTGCTCTTGCAGAGGACTGGGGTTTGGTTCCCAGAACCCTTTTGGCAGTCATCATCCATCACCTATAACTCTAGTTCCAGAAGCTGACATCCTCTTCTGGCCTCCATGAGCACTAGCCATGCACATGGTATATATATATATATATATATATATATATATATATATATATATATATATATATATATATATATATATATGCACACACACATATATATGTGTGTGTATGTATTCATGCGCATTAAAAATCTTAAATATCGCCGGGCGGTGGTGGCGCACGCCTTTAATCCCAGCACTCGGGAGGCAGAGCCAGGCGGATCTCTGTGAGTTCGAGGCCAGCCTGGGCTACCAAGTGAGTTCCAGGAGAGGCGCAAAGCTACACAGAGAAACCCTGTCTCGAAAAACCAAAAAAAAAAAAAAAATCTTAAATATCATTTTCTCATGCTTTCCTTTCAGTACTTTAGAAATTACACACAGAGCTAAGGAAGAAAGGACACAGTTCCAAATGGGGCTCCCTTCTCTCAGGAGCTGTGAAGATTGTAGTGGAAAGTTAATTAATTTGGGGAGCTCAAGAGTTTAAAATAATGATAGAAGTGATGATCATGGGCCACTCCAGTGGCCCGAGCCCTGTGGTACTGCATGCCTGCATCGCACTTGTTATGTACTAATTAGAGGTGGTAGTAGCAGTGAGCAGGGAGCTTTGACGTGGAAGTGTAAAGAGTGCCAGGAGTCCATAAAGAGGAGGCTAGTCGGGGACCCAGGGAAGGAAGAGGGGTCCACAGCATACCACATGATCATGGAACAACATATGTTAAAGATAAGCCTAGGTTCCTGAAGAGAACAGGCCATTGATGTACCTGCCACTTGCCAGGAGGATGATCGTGGCCTCTGGGAGTCTATGCTTCTCCATCTGTGCAATAAGAATAATAATAGTACCCGGTTTCAACAATTGTTGTAATAACTGGAAACATCCGAAAACTTGCCATGGGTATCTCTAACATCTAGCACAGACTCCTGCTACTTCTTCCAAAAAAAATTATTGGAGTTTCTTATGATCTGTCTGACATCCCTCCTTCTGCTCTTAGACCCTCCTCCCACTGAACATTAGCTGCCCTGTTTCCATCCATCATTTCCCTTTCATCAGACCAACATTGTTTGAACCATCACATTCTCTTCCCACAGACCATCACCCCCACCTCTCTGATCTTCCTCCCTCTGATCATCACTCTCCTCACTCTGGCCCTTAGACTAGCCTGTTTTCTCACCAGTCAGCCCTCAAGTGGGCCTTAAGCAAGCAGCTGGCAGCAGCCAGACACCAATCCCTGCTGGCTGTTTATCTGTCCAGACAATCAGAACTCTATCAAAAGGCTGAAGTGCAAATAACACTTCAGATTATTTGTAGTAGGAAAATGGAGTCTCGGGGGACAGAGTTATAACAAAGACTATGAACTTCAATTGACTGAGTTGCCTTCCCTTTGGCCCCCAAGGCTTTTGTGTTTGACCTTTATCAAGTAACAACATCAGTAAATAACTATTTGTACTGCTGCCACTCATGGCCCAGATGACTTTTCCCTCCAGACAGGTTTGGAGCTGCCCGTGACACAGTATTGTGAAACTGTCATGTATAGTCTACGCTCAACTACTGTTCAGTTAAAGCTCTCTCTCAAGCATTTACCCTGAATGGACATCAAGGAATTCACCATTGGACTTGTTGGGGATACACATCCATTCCAGCAAGGGGTCAGAGGATGAGGGTGATGGTTGGTTGGAGGAGACTCTGGTGGCCCAAGGGATGTTGCTCTGATGGAAGAGAAAATGACCAATGAAGACAGAGTCAGTAATATTCAGGGGGAAGAGGATTTTAGGGTGGGAAGGAAGGGTGTGTTCTAGTCTCAGACAACCCTCATCTACAGAAGGGGTGTGGCAGAGGACAGAAGACTGTGAATGGCTAGTCTTGTGTGAGCAGTCCATGGGGCACTTTGATACCACTGTGGGAAGTTGATGAGAGAAGGTCAGAATCTAGAGGGCCATCACTCAGAGTCTGCTGGGATGCTCATGAGATGCCCAGTGGCAATGTCAGTTCTATGAATGTGGCACACAGGCGAGATGTAGACAGAAATAAAATTCAAGAGCTTTAGTTAGCATGAGACTAATCATTGCTTACAATAGCACCATGTTAACTGATTAGTGAATGATGGCATGTAGAAAGGAAAGGTTGATCAAAACAGTAGGTGCCCTTGGCACTCCACTGAATTAGACTAGGGTGGGAGAAGGAGCTGGAGGACATGAGAAAACAAGGACATGCCCTAGCATCTATGGCAAGGCTGGAGATGAACCATTAGTGATGCTCTGTGGGATCTGTAGAGACACTGCAGAGAACAATGTACCAAAGAGTATGGGAATCAAAGCCTGACTAGCACTCACTGAAGGGAGAACATGGTAGGGAGAAGTAATGATGTCACAAGAGTGGACTCTGAGAAATTTCAGTGTGAAGAAAAGCTGGGGCTGCAGCAGGGTGTGGTCATGGGTTAGTGGATGACATAGAATCCAATTCCTTGAAGTCCGTTCAGAACCTCACTTGCTCTGTTTTATATACTGACTACACTCCTGGAATTACAAGTACACGGTGATAATGTTAATATGAATTCATAGCCTGTACTTCATTAAAATGATAGTCACATTAGAGGAGAATGTAGCCTGAAGCTACACTAATATGTATAAGAAGAGTGGCCTCGCCATCAGAAACAAGGTGCTTCTTTTAAATGCTACAATGGCTGGCTTGGAAAACAACAGGTTAAATGTACAACCATGCACACAACATGGCCTCGTACCATGAAGTCTGTGTAGTTACTTTCTATGTTGCTGGGGGGAATCAAGAGTTCAATTTGACTCATGGTTCAAGGGTA